TTAGATTCACCATTTGGAGCCAATACCAACAATAGATCTCACAAAGGATCATAGTACTAACGAAAGTTGTCTGTGACCAAATTCGGGTTTACTTGTCAAAGGAATTTGAAGGCGGGCTATAGATAGGGGCCTATGTTAGGCACGAATCACCCTGAATTTCAAAATTTGTAGATTATTTGGATAAAAAAATCGCAATCATTCTTATAAAATTCTGTTTACTAGCTTAGTTCACTATATAGTGGAAGCGTATACTATACAACCGACTGTACGGTGTCAACCATACAGACAGTGGCCGTTTTGTAATTTTGATGAAAAACACGATTCTCTTAAAATGAGCATTGATGCAATTTTGGTGAGCATCAAGTCTTTTTTATGAGTATTAGGAGCCTACCAATGAGTATCAATGTTCTATGCTCCCTATCTTCCAATTGACTTTTGTTTTATTTTTTTTCAATATGTGTATCTAATGTAGTAGGATACGTTTGAAATGTGCAACATTTTAAAATGAGCATTTATAACTTAGAAAATGAATTTTAAAAAATTCAAAAACTCATTTGTGTATGCTCATTCATTTTGAACGTTGTACTCATTTGTGCTTAACATAAAACTCATTTCTAATGTGTTCAATATTCATTTATATATGTTCATTCCTTTTAGGCATATACTCGTTTGAGTTTAATGTAAAACTCATTTGAGATTAAAAGCAGCAAGGATTCCTCAGCAACGAAGTAGGCTCCCCTTGCCTCCTAAAATGACCCCATGCTCAAACAGTAAAACTACACCGACAACTTCCCCGGGAAGAAAAACAGAGGAAGAAGAGGTAAGTAGGGTGGAGAAGGGGGGCAGTGATGAACTTTGGCGATGAGCTGCTGGTGCAAAATCAGATCGAAGAAGCCCAATGAGATTGAAGAAGCGAGATGCGAAGTCCTGTGTGAAAACTTCTGGTGTGAAGTCCTGTGCAAAATCCGGTGCGAAGGTCTGGTGCGAAGTCCTGTGCGAAATCCGGTGCGAAGGTCCGGTGCGAAGCTGATGCGAGGGCAAGAAGCGCAGAAAGCCTAAAAAAGCCCGGTTGTACTATGCCCACGGTACGCCCGGCGGTAGGATGTAATTTGCGCGGTACAATCGGATGTAGGATGTAACTTGCTTGGAAGGTAATTCCTAAATTCTAGAATCATGAGAGGACAAATACAACAAGCGGATTATTAAAAAGAGTAAGAAAGTTGGCAACCCCAAAGTTTACAAAAAAAATTCGATGAGGATGAGCTGAAAAGGAATCCAAGTTGTCGGCAAATGCCTTATTCCCAATGCAAAGATCTATCACGGGCTCATGGCGTATTATCTTGTAATTGCGCATTCAATCGGTGGACGTAGCCCAACTGGTAGCGAGGGAGTGCCATAAGGGTTAGGTTCCGGATTCGAATCCCTGCAACTGCGATGAGAGGTAACTATGCTGAATAGGGCCTCTGCAAGTATCGGGAACAGAACCTCACTCTCTATATGTCAGATTGGGGTTGTAGTCCAATTTACATCCTACCAACGTACCATTCGGTCGGGGTTGGGGGGACCTCAGGGATGGAGTGTCATCCTTTTTTGTAATTGCGCATTCCCTTTGCAAAACCACCATAACACTTGCAATGAGTTCAGTTTTTCGTATCATATTTTCATTACTGTTTGTGTTCCATTCGTTTTTTTTGCAAGAAGGAAAATTAATTGATATTGATCAAATCATTGTCTAAAACGGATACAATGAAAGAAGGAGGAGAATAAATCCAAGACCACAATAAGTAAAAATGATGTTGGTCCAAAATAGGACGTTCGTAGGCTTTTTGGAAAGCTACGTAAGAACACTCAAGCAGGAATTTAGGAAAATAATGCGAATGAGGAAAAAAGTTAAAAGTGTTTAGTTGCCAAAAATAGCATCTCATTTGAAATTCGGACTTGCCTTTTATACGCGATTTACAAATAGTAACTGTCAAAGATACTAATGGCTAATTAATTACAACATTAATACAGAATTAAATACATAACTAATAACACATTGATTGTTGGCCATTACTCTTCCTGGCTGGCTGGCAGGTCGGCCTGGCTAGCAGGCAGAACGCTTAAGCTCCTCGGGCGGCAGGCTTCTGGTTGGGCTGACAGGCAGGCTCCCCGTTGGGCTGGAAGGCAGGCTCTCCGCTGGGCTGGAGGACAGGCTCCTCGCTAGTTCGAAAGGCGGGCTCCCGGTTGGCCGGGCTGGAAGGCAGGCTCCCCGCTGGGCTGGTCGACAGGCTCTCTTGGGCTTCCGCTCCTTGATTGGCCTGATCGGTTGGGCCGACTCGAGCTCTAGGTTGCTGGGCTTGGGCCCGCTGGTCCAAGTTTGGGTCCATAAAATTGGGTGAGTAGAATTTTGATCCACCAAAATCGCCGTTGTTTCTTTCAAAAAAAAAATCGCCATTGTTATTTCTAAAATCTTGCTCTAGAATGTCTAATTTAAAATTCAGTGAAGCCAATTAGATTATAAAATATTTGTCTATGTATTACATCTGATGGAGTATATTCTCATATACCCCAGGATTACCAAAACATTCACATACAAAGGAACTCTCCAGAAACGCTAAGTCAATATTCTGCCGAGGCCGACCTCGACCCACCCCAGGTCGGCGCAACATCGGGCTCCCCGATCGCCACGATAAAACCAAATCCGAGGCCGACCTCAAGCACACCGAGGTCGTACCAGATCTGACCTCGGATACTGACACAATTCAAAGGGAGTCAACATATATGAAGCCATAACCCCCACCCACCGGACAAACCGAAGACCATGATAAGTCCCATTTAATAAACTCTTTGTGCTTGAGCTCTGACCTCATGAAGCTTGGGGTCTCACTAACCAAGTGCGGACTTAAACATTTCAGTAATCAAGTATCGCGCAAGCTACCACGACGTCACCAACACTATGCGAAGGCCACATGACTCTGGCAGTTAAGAATTAATAATATTCTGGATGACACATGTGTAGCACACACGTGTATTTTGGTACGATTCTGTTACACATAGTATCAATCGGTCAGCTGTCCCAATCATCTCTCCAATCACTTTTACACATGTCACCACACCATTAAACTAGTACACTTATCCTGTTAGACAGATGTGACACGTGTCTTCACCATAATAGAATATCATCTTTTTACTTGTTGACCAAGTATTTCTTCCTTAGTATAAATATCACCTTCCAGTTTGTGGAAAGAGATACAAAATTCATCAATCAAACTTGTTGTTACTCTGCCCAATTTTCTACCTCATCTTACTTAGCACTTTCAGTCTCTCCTATTTCTCGTATTCCGGCTACCCCAGGGTCGACGATCCATCAACCTCGGTCCGAGTTACACAATATTTTCTAATTGGATTAAAAAATACTTATCCATGTACTACTCTGCACGATTAAAAGTTACACATTTTGTGTTGTATATTGACACATTTAGAATGTTTAATGCACATTTTGTATATAGTATTGCTTCAATTATATTACCTTATTTTAACTAAGTTCCTTAAAATTAAAATGATATTACCACATTTTAGATTTGAAAATTGATATCTTCTATCTAAGTTTTCACACCAACATCAATTTTTTTTTATTTGAGCAAAACTGTGTGTGTGTGTCACCAAATTATGTATGTATATATATATATATATATATATATATATATATATATATATATATATATATATATATACTAGTGATGGAGTATATGGCCCGGGAACCCCCGGCCCACAGACTCCTACTACTCCAATAAAGGCCCAATAGGCCCAGGAAGCACAACAGGCCCAAATCACGGCGCCCAAGACACCAAGCACCCCACAATGCGCACCAGGGGTGCCTTCGCCCCCCTGGCCGAAGGCTCTGATTCTCACAGGAAGGTCAAAACAGGAAAAGAAAGTTACTGGGAGAAAACGGCGAAAATCAGTAGCCCTCGACACCTAGAGCCCTCGGCACCAAGGGGGTCCCCGGTGCTCAGAGCCCTCGGCTAGTCATCTACCGCCGAGGGCACCTTTTCCGAAATGATATCCGCTCCACATGCGTATGGATCACCGTACCAAGTACGACGTCACATCCAACAACCGCATTAAATGCGGCCACATGCGGTTGCCAGCGCCAACCAGTTGAGGTGACCTCTCGGCCAATGGACGCTTGACACGTGTTCCTGTCTGGCATTTATTGCTACTATAAATAGCACTCCATATCCCCATTTGTAACCAAGTCACAAGGCACAACACGCTGAATACTTGCTAATATACTCTCTCTCTATACTCATTAGCTCTGACTTCTCTCTAGTTATTCCCCGTAATAACCCCTCGGATAAGCTACTCCCGGGTACACTATCCATCAACTAGTTTGGTTCTATATTTTATTAATTAACCCATTAACGAAACACATTGTGGAGAACAAGAAAATGTTGATGAATGCTAGCATGCTACGACACCTACAAAAATGAGGATTAGATAAAACAAATTATATTGTTAAATATTTATATTACTCTGTATTAAATATTTATATTATTAATTAATGAGGACCAGATACTGTATTTATCATGCATTTAATTGATTAATTATCTCATCCTTTCTTAAATTTATATGTTCTAATTAGTTTATATGGACAAAATAATGGTACCATAGAATTTGTCAATATTTTATGTTTGTCTTAGTGTAAGCTTTAAAACATAGATTTTCTTTAATTCTTTTTTATTAATAATCATTGAACTAATCATTTAAATAAGAATATAAAGACAGGAAACGAATTACGCGGCTTGGGGTTAGAAGGTTGGAATGTGCTGGGAGGATGACGGCCTGACCAGTGACAGCTGGCTAACCCTTCCATCTGTTCGACAAAATGTTTGAGCGGAAAGTAATGCTTGCGAATTAATCCACACATCCCGCGTCCGGAGTACTTCAGCAAAAGGGAAGAAGTTCGGCAAAAGCCTTTCTCCAGTGTTCCCTGCTTTTTAACTGAGATGGAGATACAGAGAAAGACGAAGGAGGCGTTTGCGGTCCTGCTCCTTTGCATTCTGATCAATGTGCTGAGCTCGGCTTATGCTGATACAGATTCTACTGATGGTCAGTTGTTTCTTTAATAATCTACTTCGCTTTGTGTTGGATTTAGAGCAAATATGTCAACTCTTTTTGTTGAATTATATATGTGGTGTACACTACTGCTTACTTGATTGATATAAGATCAGTTGTGTTATGCCGATTTCGACTAAACATTAAATCGTACCTACTAAATAAGTACAGAAAGCTGTGATTCTGTAAAATTTTGTTTTATGACTTTTATCTCAGACCAGTTTGCTACTTATGGAATATTTCTCATCTTGATGACCAGAAATGTTTTACCTATTTCCGTCTTTGCTTCTTTTGTTTTGGACTTTCCAGCATCTATATTAAGGCTCATGTTCACCAGCCTGAATTCACCATCCCAGCTAACAAACTGGAAACCAAGCGATGGTGACCCGTGTGGAGAATCCTGGAAGGGTATTTCTTGCTCAAAGAACAAAGTTACCGAAATGTGAATCTCTTTTTCTTTTCCAGTCGTTCTGGCATTTTCCTTCTACGTCCAGAGAAACATGTGTTTTCCCTTTAATCTTAAAACGCGCTTTTTTTTTCCAGCAAGATTCCAAGTCTAGGGCTCACCGGATCAATGGGGTTCCAATTGGATCAACTGAAAAATGTAACCGACCTGTAAGACAAGTAGAACTCAACAATGTGCGATGTTGTTGTTTTTTATTTTACTATTAGTATTATTATTACTATTATTATTATTTTTAAGATAACTGGTGGAAATGATAGTTTGTGTGACTTTTCAGTGATATAAGCAACAATAATCTTGGAAACCAGCTACCTTATCAGCTTCCTCCAAATGTACAGCGACTGTAAGTTTCATTTCTGCGTATAGATCAAGTCCTCCTCAGTACTGCAACTGCGTAACAATCTTTTTTACAATGCAGAAACCTTGCTGGTAATGGATTTGGCGGTCAACTCCCTTTCTCCATTTCCCAGATGACTTCTCTTCAATATTTGTAAGTCAACTGCACCGACAATAAAAAAAAAGTATTCCACTTGGATTGGGAGCTCTTATGTGGACTTCAGCTTTTGTAACTCAATTATATGCTTCTATCAAAATGCAGAAATCTGAGTAACAATAAAATTCAGGGCCAATTGAATGATATGTTTGGATCTCTTTCTTCCCTATCAACATTGTAAGACTAATAGCCTCATCTGGATTCTTGTATTGCTGTATTTGTTTTGTTTCCAGCTTCATTTGAACTAAACAGGACAGAACCCAAAAATTCATAAAACTTACATGACAAGGATATCAGAAAGCCTCAACTATCAATTTTTGTTTGTTTTAGAGATTTCTCATTCAATTTGATGACGGGTGATCTTCCTCAAACTCTTACTTCACTTACAAGTATGAGCAACATGTAAGTGCATACATTGTTTTGATGGAATTTTACTATTACCTCTAAAAAGTCCTCAACCCATTGGCGCATTCCCAACTTGTAGGTATTTGCAGAACAACCAGTTCACGGGGACCATCAATGTCCTTGCAAATCTGCCTCTCGAGAATCTGTGAGTTATTTCCCCCATCCCAAAGCGAAAAATCTAAAAGAGCTATTGAAACACCATAGTGGGACTTATTAACTTGTACTTTTTTATTCAAGGAATGTTGAGAACAATCGTTTCACGGGATGGATTCCTGAGCAGTTAAAAAGCATACAGAGATTACAGTGCGTGTTTCAGATTGTATTAAAGTAATAATAGTTTTTTTTATTTGTTATCTCTGTAAATAAATATTGAGTGATATCTTATTTTGTCAGAACGGATGGTAATACTTGGAACTCGGGCCCCTCACCCCCACCCCCTCCTGGCACAGCTAGTAGCCCCCGTAGAAATCACCGTGGAAGCCCTACGAGGCCATCAAGTGGTGGAGGCAATGTCAGTGCTGGTGGTGAAAAATCTGGTATAGGTGGTGGAGGTGTTGCTGGAATCGTAATATCCATTTTAGTGGTGGGAGGAATTGTAGCATTCTTTGTTATCAAGAGAAGATCGAGAAGAAAAAGATTAACTGATACTGAAAAAAATGATAATGAGATCATTTCTCCTCTAGCTTCAAATGGAGTACAAGGTAGCCTGTGGTCCTTATGAACTAAACTTTAAGTTGGTTTTGATAGTAGTTCAAAGTTTTATATGTTTGTTTGTTATAATATATTTAGTCCAACATTTAACAATGATTAATAGAAATAAAAATGTAACGAATGAGGAAGAAGGATTATTCTCATTAAGTTGAAATGATGATAACAGAGAGTATTTATAGAAGTTGCAGTACAACTGAAACTAACTAACTGATGACTAACTGATCATAACTAATGCAGTCCGTATAGTATATCTAACAATGGTACACGCTATGTTAATTATGTTCACTTGTCTGTGTTTCCCTTAGCAAATAATTAGTACGTAGTATATCTCTATATAATCTGCTGTTCTCGACCATTTTCCGAACAGAAATGAAATCTCTTGAGACATTCTCCAATATGAGAACAGAAACATTGGAGACTCCTGCTGCAGTTAATCTAAGACCTCCAATGGCTCCACCGATCAACCATCACCAATCCTTTGATGAAGATGATGTGTTAGCCAAATCCATTGTCACCCCCAAGAATATCAATACATCACAGATAAATGCTACTCGGTATTCTATTGCAGACTTGCAGATGGCTACAGATAGCTTCAGTGCTGAAAATCTTCTTGGCGAGGGATCAGTAGGTCGTGTTTACAGGGCTCAATTCCAACACGGGAAGGTAGTTTTGCTCTCATACTTTTGTGGGGTGTTTAGTTAACGATTTATCATCCACTATTCACCTATTCGGATGAACTTATTGTGTTTGACTTGGTCAAACAACTATTATTAGTGTGTTAAATGACTTACTGGTTTGGCTTATTGATGCCAATCTTTTACAACAAGAATGCCACTCTGAGCAACATTTTATATTGCCTTACTGATTTAATGTTTTAAAAGTGCTTACCCTCCAAATTTACCTCTTTCTTAAAAACTATTTTATGATTAGTAAGAAATAATATTAAAACTAAAATGAATAAATGAGGAAAATGTTTATGAAGTTAAAAGAGGAACGTTTTCATTGGGATTCCCAAAAATGCATTGAAACATGTAAAAAGTTTACTCTCCTATAATCTTCAAATAAAATATTTCTTCTATTCCTTAATCAATGCCCTAAAGGCTTTCTTTAACAAAACCCATAACATTATTACAATATTAATAATATATTACAATAAATTTTTGTAAAAATAATCAAACAAAAAATAAAATAAATAATAAAAATATATAATTGTAAAGAATAGTTAATGCACTCTAATAAGCTAGTTCAAATTATGTCTAAAAACATTTTGGATATTGAAAAATAAACACCCACATTCTTATATACCTACATGTCATTTTACATGTTATAAGCTGACCCTGAATAGCTAATTTACCGAGCACCTTTCCACAAACCGCTAACACTATTTACTGATAAAATAGCTAAAACACGCTGCTATTACCCATCAATTAACACAATCCGTTATCAGTTAAAACTATTTGCTAATCGTATAACAACCCCTCTATTACTTTGTTGGCTTATTGTCTTAATGAGCGATTAGCAGTAAATAAACGAGGGATGAGAAATTTTACTTATTGAGTATCAGAGCTAGTGTTATTTGCTTCATATCTCTAATTAGGAACCTATCAACCTCAATTTCTTTCCTTCACATCTATCTTTGTTGCAGGTTCATGCTGTAATGAAAATCAATTCATCATCTCTTCAAGAGCCTGAAGATTTTATGGAGTTGGTTTCTACAATATCACGGCTGCATCACGCAAACGTGACTGAGCTTGTAGGATATTGTTCAGAACATCAACAGTATCTGCTTATTTATGAATTCCACAAAAATGGTACTTTGCATGATTTTCTTCATCTCTCAGATGAGTTCAGCAGGCCACTAACCTGGAACAACAGAGTTAAGATTGCTTTGGGGACAGCACGTGCATTGGAGTGAGTTCAATGGGCTCATATAGTTTATAATAACTGTTATTCTTGTATGTATACATAACTTTTACTTGCAAACTTATACTTGGATATAATCCATTGCCAGATATCTACATGAAGTTTGCTCGCCATCAGTGGTCCATAAGAATTTTAAATCTTCTAACATTTTACTTGATTCTGAGCTCAATCCTCATCTATCAGACTGTGGATTAGCAAGCCTTATACCAGATGGAGATCAGGTCGGTACTTCAATCTGATGGTTTCACTTCGGGCTTCAATGCAAAATTGTTTCTTAACGAAATGGTTTATGTATTTTTGGTCATTTTGTGGTTAATAGCAATGAATTTTTGGTCATATTTCAACTTTTCAAGTTATTTCAATTCAGTAAATCTGCACAAGTGCACCATATCCATTGTTGATAGAATTCATAACCAAGGCAGGGTCGCTCAGTTGGGTTATTCACTTGGGTCAAATCACAGTAGAAGATTAAAGTATATGCTTTCCTTTAAAATTTGATGTGGCACTCTTAACAATTGCAATGGTCTCCCTTTCTTAAGCCATTGAAAATTCTGCAGGCTTTGAACCATACTACTGGGTCAGGTTATGGTGCACCTGAGGTTTCCATGTCTGGGAGCTATACAATAAAGAGTGATGTGTACAGTTTTGGTGTGGTCATGTTGGAACTTCTTACCGGGAGAAAGCCATTTGATAGGTAAATAAAGTTATTCGAGCATCTGCTATTTCATTTCACAAGGAGAAATTGAACATAAGAAATACACTATATATGCCATTTGATGATTCTCCATCAAATTTGCAATGGAGTCAAAGATTCATTATTTTTTTGGCTTGAGATTATGATGGAATAAAGCAACATGACTCACTAAACTGTCTGCGCTTCTTTGTTATGAAGCAGCAGTCAGTCCATGCAATTTTGGACGCGATTTTCACTATGGGTCATCCGGAAACAGTCTCTCTGTGCTTTAGTACAGGGGTAAGACTGCATACATCCGACCCCCCTTACCCCACCGTAGGTGGGAGCCTTTGCGGCACTGGGGTAAATGAAAGTGATGATGCCATTTGATGATTGTTTTTTCTTCAATAATATATAGTTCAAGGCCAAGAGCTGAACAATTGTTAGTTCGATGGGCTACACCTCAACTACATGACATTGATGCCCTGACTAAGATGGTTGATCCAACACTTGAAGGACTCTATCCAGTCAAATCCCTCTCCCGCTTTGCTGATGTCATCGCTCTTTGCGTCCAGGTATATATGTGCCAATGCTAACCTTTACTCTATGTTTGGCATGCCATATGTTGTCTTGTAGATCATCTATTGTTTTCAAGAGAGCTTTTTAAATGAGTCACTTCTGGTTGAAGGAGCTTATTTCAGAAGCTCCTATTAGCTTATCAAATCAGCCTTTACCTTGCTATATTTGAACCTCATTAAAAGAATTAGTCCAGGCTAGCTTTTCAGTTGTTTTTGTCAAACAATCATGAAATCAGCTACTCTCTCCGCCTCAATTTTCTTCTTGTTTTGATTGGGCACGTTTCTTTCCTCGAAAGGAAGCAAGGAAAACCGGAAAACAATTTTTTTAGGACCAGCTGTAAAGGAAAACAGGAAGATAATTTTTGGACCAGCCAGGCAACTTATCATCTTTTATTCCAAGCCTAGTTCATCCTACACTTATATTGGTTCTATGTGATAGAATTCATAATTGGATCGTGGTTTCTCAACTGAGCCATCATGCTCATTGGTCAAAGGTTAAATCCAATTTTAATCAATTAGCTAGTTTAACCCTGAATCTTACAAACCTGTATATTTATCATTAATAATTAATATATGTATATGAAACTTCTAATGTCATGCACCATTGTGACAGACGGAGCCAGAGTTCAGACCACCGATGTCGGAAGTGGTTGAAGCACTGGTTCGGTTGGTGCAACGAGCAAACATGAGCAAGAGAACATCATTCAACAATGCAGCAGATGCCGAATAATACATGCGCATGGAGTTGTTGATTAAGCAGCTTTCGTTAAGACACTTGGTTTATGTTATCATGTGAAAGGTTTCCGTAGCCTTTTGTTCACCTGATACTGGATGCTCGCTTTTGGCTTCGCTGCACCCTGCAAGTGTTTGTATCATACCAGGCCCTTTAATTAGTGAACTTTGAGCTGTTTATGTATAGCGTGCTTTTATCTATTTATTCATATTTACTTCTTTCATTAGTATAATCACCTTTTATCATTTCTTTCCTGTGTGGATCAAATAATTTGCAAGAAAATGCATTTTGTAAAAAAGATGTGATAAAATGCTATATATGTGCCCAAAATTTATTTATATACGTAATGATGACTTTAACATTTTATTCATTTATTTAGTCATATACCCTGTGTAAATAAAAAAGTTCAGCAATATACTCATGAGTCATTGAGTCATGATCAATAATTTATTTATCTATTTATAATATTTTTACTAAAGGTTTGTACGTCAAATGTGGCATTCGAAAATTTGGCTACATTTACAATGCATAGCAATTCATAATATGCATGGCTTGTCTTACAAATATTTAAATATTAGACGCTTAACGCTTTATTTGAGAAATATAAAGTTGACCCAAATCACATTCCAAGCTTACAAGCTATTCATCATGTTGTATAGTTTTTCCTCAAAAAGCTATTGGAAATTTGGAACCAACATATTGAATTCCATAGACCATGGGAAGTAACACGGTGTTGGCCTGTTGGGCATAAACAACAAAACAAAAAGTACTACACTGAATAAAATGGAAGCGTCGTCCCACATTTTCTAAGCCTTAATTTCTAACTCATTCTCTCATTTTCTGATTTTTCTCCCTCTGATTCCAAAATTTTAAAAGATACCTAAATGGAGGGAGCCCTTCTATGAAATTCGTGTATACAATATACATTGTCCATATTTTTGAATTGAATGCTTAATATCGAGTGAATTTCCACCATTTACAATTAGGGATGGACAAAACCGCCCCGGCCCGCTCCGGAACCGCCCCGGCCTGACCCGGAACCGGCCCGGCCCGTTACTGTTTGGGCCCGGACTGGACCGGGACCGGTTGTCCGGTTCCGGGCTTTTAGCCCGTTTGGGCGGGTCGGGCGGGCCGGGCTCGGGCCCAACTTTTGGTGAACCGGCCCGGGTGGTTCGGGCCGGGCCCGGTTCAATATTTTTTTTTTCAATTTTTTTGCTTTTCTAGGTTAGGGTTGGGTGTTTTGGGGGGGGGGGGGTTTGGGGGGTGGGGGTGAAGGGGGGGGGGGGTCGGGTGTTAATTAGAAACAAAAAAAAAATTGAACTTGACCCGGGCCTGGCCCGGCCCGGCCCGACCCGGTTACACCCGGACCCGGTATCAATCCGGGCCGGTTCCGGACCCAACATTTTGCAAAAAAAGCCCGCCCGGGCCCGGAACCAGAACCGGACTGACCCGGGTCCATCCCTATTTACAATGGAGGTAAAGACATTATTTTTGGCTTAGGAATATGATGCAATAAAGTAAAATGACTCACTAAATTGTCTGCGTTTCTTTGTTATGAAGAAGCGGTCAGTCAATGCAATTCTCGACATGATTTTCACTATGGGTCATCTGGAAACAATCTCTTTGTGCTTTAGTACAGAGGTAAGACTGCGTACATCCAACATCCCTTACCCCACCATAGGTGGGAGCCTTTGCAGCACTGCGGTGATGATGATGATGCTTAATATCGAGTGAACCTCCTTTCAAAAAAATCGAGTTAACCTATTAATTTCACATTATCACCCGGGCGGGCCCGAGTCTCATCAAATACACACAAAAGGTATATGGATCCCACAATTTTATTTCCATGTATAGATAGATACATCTAATTCGGTTTTTAAAGTTATTAAAAAAGAATTGTCTTAGATAATAGTAAAAATGCTTATGAATTTTATAATATGATTGTTAAGTTTTTATTTCTTAAATAGGAATGATTATTATCATGTTTTACCATGACCTGATTGTAAAAGGACCTAGAGACATTGCTAGGGTTGAGGTTGGCCTCATAACTCGTTTTGCACAGTTTTTCTTCCACGACAATTCCATGGCAACGATCTTTGGCTGCCTGTTTCGAGACAGAAGAACATCGGTGACTCAATTGAACCAGGCGGCTCCGTCGATTCGAAGCAACCCGCGTCGACGGATTTCTCACAATCAACTCTTTCACGGTAGCGGCTCAGCGGTTTTCTTGCTTTGGAAATCCGATAACTATTTTTCTAGATGAGATGGCGGAGGGATACAACCAAGAAGAAATTGAAGCTTTAGCACAGCCGCCACACAGGCATACGGACAAGTGGAGATGGAAGATGGAGATGAATTCCTGGTCGTGGAACCTATGGCACAGAGCTCTTCTAGCCACAATCTGGCCCTGGTGGGAACAATCACGTCGGAAAATTCGATACATTTTACTAATATTCGGGATATTATGACATCTGTATGGAAATCTGTGAAGGGCGTTACCATTTTTACCAGATTTTATGATGAAGATGGTATCAATAGAGTAGCATATGAGGGACCGTGGATTTTTTACGAGAACCTGTTGTTATGAGTAGATTAAAAGAAGGAGATCTTCCTATGTTCGTTCCACTGAATAGAGCTGAGTTATGGATTCAAAAGTCCATGACATTCCGGTAAGATGCTTTACCCTAGCTAATGCGGAATGCAAAGGGATTTTTTGGGCTCTTTATAAAAGTCGCAACTTTTCTGAAAAATAGAATCCTTTATGAGGATTCGTGTTAGGATTGATCTAGGAAAACCTCTGAAAAGAAAACTATCTTGCAAAAGGAGGAAAGAATTAACTTTTGTGTTAAATTTCGTTATGAGAAAGTGCCCAGTTTTTGTTTCCTGTGTGGGATAATAGGACACACAAAAAGTCATTGTCCTCGTAAGAGGGTGGAAAACGAGATAGCCAGGGAGAGGCTGTTTGGTCCGTGGCTTCGGGCAGCAAAAGGGGGAGTGCAGTTGAGGGAGAACAAATGTCACGTCCCAGCGTGCAAAGGAAACAACATTAATGACCAGGCTAATAACGGAGGCAATGTAGAGGACAAGCAAGTAAGCCTTTGGAGGGCGGAACTTTGCCATGGGGCTTGAATAGAAGCGCAGACGTGGGGAGGAATCAGGAAGCCACCCGATAGGGAGGAAATGGAGATACAGCATGTTCGAGCAAAACACATATCTGATCCCTATCCTTTCTCAGCACGTGGGAATAAGAAAGGCTGGAGGTCTTAAGACATTTTATTTCTTTCACGTTTATTTCATTTCTGTTAATTACTTCATTTTTGTTATTTTTGTGAACAATAGTGGTAGGTTGCTAGTTTGCTTTTTCATTGTTCAGGATAGTTTTGTGGGTGGAAGAGATTAGACTTGTATGACTGGTAAAAGCTTCAAAACTCTCACATGGTTAGCGAATAGTCTCACTCTCTTTAAGGTTGTCTATTATATATGCGTCTAGTCAGAGAGTGGGAGAGCCGTTTGGTTATGCGGAGCCTCATAGGAAGGTTTGGCGTTGTGTGTTTGTGGGAACTTTGTTATGTTTGATTGCTATAATATAATTTGTTTTCTTTCAAAAAACCATTACCTGATTGTAACGTGATAGTATATGTATTTCAAATTGGATGCTATTATTTTAGAATTTCAATGTGTTTTCACTTCTATTTTTGAAACTTTCCCTTATCCCAACGTCTTCTCTTCAGATAATATAAAATAGTACACATTCATTACAGAAAGTGAATACCTTTTAAATACTCTAATAAATATTTAAACCGATTTAAATAGTCCAAAACTAAAACATACTCCGTAAATAGGATTATTATTGTTTGATTCATAATGCACGAGTATTACTTATTGACTCCTATATTGGTAAGTTTTAGTTTATTCTTTTAGTAGCACTAAATAAGACTTATTTGGAAAATAAAATATAATTAGTCCTAAACTTGAACATTGTCATACATAAATAAGCCATACATTGAACAATTTCAATTCTAAAAGTGTCAATAGTGAAACTAATCGTGTCTTTTCTTAGTATTCCCAATGAGGACGTTTTTCATTGAAGTGATTTCAGTCACTGACCAAACCAAATTTAAACAATTCAGATTACATTCAAATAATACGGAGTACTAAAATACACATATATCATATGTATGTCAGACCAAACCATATAAGACTAGAATTAAATAAATCAGATCATAACATACTTAAAACGTCCAGATTCAGATTAGAAAATATCAAACTCAATTTAAAATATCTTAGAGCATGTTTGTCACACAAATGTTGGTAGCTTCTAGCTACTCTATTATTTAAAAAGAGCTTAAAAGACTCTAGTTGTGTGTTTGGCAGACATAAGTCTCTATCTTCTAGCTTTTTTACTGTTCAAAAAGTCTCTAAAAGCTTCTAGTTATATGTTTGACATGACAATTTTTAAGAGTTTTGTAAATATTAAAAGATCATTTTTGAGATGGTATAGGGAATAGCATCTGAAAAAGAGGTCGTGACTTTTAGTATTAATTAGTCCTAATAGCTTGTATACCAAACCGAACTATATCAAACAATAAGCTTTTACCAAACAACTACCACATTTTTTCTTTAAGATCTTTTCAGTCACTAAAAACTAACAGTTATTAAAAAGATCACAAAAGTATCTTTTCGGCTAATTGTGCCAAACATACCCGTAAGGTAGCGTTCAACCCAAAAGATCTTTTCAAAAAATTTGTCGTTCCTCACAATACCCTGTGCATTCTGAGCCTTTCATCCTCTTCAACACCATATTCTCTGGTTTTCACTTTCATAAAAAAATCAGGTATTCTTCTCCTCATCGATATTTATTCTTAGCCATGTGTTCATTGATTTTTTAATTTCATTTATTAATCTACAATCAAAGTGTTGTACTCAAACTTGATAAATTTGAGTAAATTTTATGTTATATTTGAATATGTTTGTATAATCTGCTTTTAGGCATTCAAATAAATTTATTTACTCTACCATTGAAATAAATATAAAAAACAATTATATAGAGTATTAATATATTTCTTTGTCGGTTTTGGTTGTTTTTATTGGGATTTTTCTTTGTTATTCATTGCCATGGCAGTGTCTGAATTTGTTTTTAAACTGAGTGTGTTTTTCTTTTAATTTATATGATGCTTTGGGAGTTTACTGATTTTTTTATTGAATGTGTTGAAGAGGTTGGATGATAGGAATTGGTTTGGGAGTTTACTGATTTTTTTATATGATCCTTCGATTGGAGTTTTGAAAGCTAAAATCTGATTTTCATTGGAAAACAAATTCTCATCTCACCCCATCCAACTATCCAAGGCTAATCATAGGAGCTATCAAACAAGGACCAATGATGAGTGAAAGCATTTACGAGGGTTCACGAATGGCAGAGGATGGTAGGACGGATATGCGTTAGCAGAGAAGTGTTCTTGCGGCTCAATGATGACACCATCAAGACTTGATCGGTTGAAGATGATGCATAACACTGAGAGTCTGAGAAAAAATGATTATAATCTATAGTTATAATTTATTTTGTTTGTTTGTCAGACTTATAAATGTTGATCTGTGTTCACTTTTCAGATAGATTATATTTTATTTTGCTAGACTAGTATTCCATTGGAGTTGATATCTATGTTTGTTTATGCTCTAAGAAAGCCCAATTTTGGAATAATTGTGATGCATTGTTGATGATGTGTTGCCATTATTTCTGATGAATTAGGTGCATAATGGAAGGCGATCAAAGGAAATCACTTTCCTTATTTTTAGCGTTATCTATTCTCCATGAAAGTGAACTTGTTGCTTGTTATTATAAGCATGTCTACAAAGAACCTTGCATGAGTTCAACACTTACAGGAGATGCTTGGGTGAGTGACTTGTTGACCGGCCATCCAATTCGATGTGTGATGACTTGCATGCAAATTATGGATTAATCCCGAGTGATAGAATATCGGTGTTCGAGAAGGTGGGTATATTTGTATACACCCTAGCTTTGGGATTGTCTAATTGGGATGTAAGTGAGAGGTTTCAACGTTCGGGTGAAACTATTAGTAGAGCATTTCACGATGTTCTACAAGCAATTACTGGATGGAAAAAATGGTTTTCGGGTTCTTGCGCGGGATTATGTTAAGCCAAATGATTCTATATTCAAGTTCATACTAAGATGTATATTTAATAATGATGAATGTTAAATGTCATACTTTAAGGTAATCCATCTCCTAATATTTTATTTTGATTTTGTAGTTCATTAGTATGTTTATTGTTTACATGCACTAAATTATTTATTAGAACTGCATTGGTTGTATTGATGGCACACATATTGAAGCATGTATCTCAGTACAAGAACAACTTCCATGTATAGGTAGAAAAGGCATTTCGACATTGAATGTCATGGCAGCATGTGATTTCGATATGTGTTTCACATTTATATTTATTGGATGTTAGGGATCTGCCCATGATACATGTGTTTTTCTACACGAAATTGAGACACGTTCTATGAACTTTCCACATCCGCCTCAAGGTATGTGAAAGTGTGATTTTTTATAAATTTATTTTGTATAATAAACTAAACTCGTTCTTTGTAGGTTGATATTACTTAGTACATAAAGGCTACCCTGATCGAAAAGGGTATCTCGTACCATATCCAAAGATGAGATACCATTTGTCCCAGTTTGAGAATGAGTTGCCCACTAATGCTTTGGAATCTTTTAATTGTGCACACCCATCACTCCGGAGTTGTATTAAGAGATCATTTGGAGTACTTGAGAAGAGATGGAGGATATTGAAAAGAATGCCAAAATTTAGCATCAATATACAAATTGATGTGATAGTGACGGCCCTTACATTGCATAACTATATTTGGAAGAAATCCAATGAAAATTTAGGGGGGTGTATTGTATTAGGAATTAGTGTCAAAGTTTTAAATGTCCATGAATTTTAAAAGTTTAGGTGTATTCAATGTGAACTTTTAAAAGTCTACAAAAGTCTAGCTGTATTCAATGTAGACTTTTAAAAGTCTATAAAAGTCTAGGCATATTCAAATTTTCGTTCATTCTTATTGACTTCTAAAATCACGGATTCTCATGGACTTTTAACTCATTCTTAGAATATTATTTTTCTGCAATTGTCTCTTCTCCTCACCAAAGATTTCCATGGACTTTTCTAGTTGTCTTCTACTCGTCACAAGTACGCTTAGATCTGATTACAGATTTCACTAATTATTTAACCGGAATCACAAACCGGCCAACAAGTCCTGGACTAGTACCGGCCGGGAGGTGGGTATGAAGATGGTCTCAGTGTGCAAGATTTGAATATTAATAAATTTTGATTGATTTTTGTTTCATTTTACGATAAATAAAGTTGAACAAAGAGTATCTACATTAATACTAATATATAAGATAAACTTATCTTTTTATTTTTTTTAAAAAAAATTAAAAGTGATATTTTATATGTCATCTTACGAAGAAAAATGTAGGCGTGGGATCGGTTCAGTTCTTGAAAGAAAATTATGCAGCATTTGAAGAATCATTAATTCCATGTTGATTCGATTCTAAAAGTTGGAGAAGAACCGATATAAGAATTGATAGTATTACATCAGTGCAATTCTGGTACGTTGTCAGTTAATCATTAAGAAAGAAAATTACATATTAACGTGTTTCATCGTTAAACCGCTAACACATACAAATATAATTTGAAATTACTAAATATTTAACCGTAAATAAACATACAAAATTTAACAAGCTAAAGATGAAAAGAAAACAATTATTAATTTAAAAGAAAAACTCGATTGCACCTATACTTGTAGCACATGTAGTAATGAGTATAACGCTTGTGTAATGATCAATGTATTTACTCATTGAGGTATGTAATACCGTACTACGTATAACAATTGAATTTCTTTTTAATAAAAATAAATTTGGATTAATTCCTTATGCTTCATTTATTCATTTATTTGTTTCATTTATTTATTTTATTGTTTTTTTTATCATATTACACATAGGAAATTACTTACGGTAAGACTAAAACATAACATTTTCCCCAAAGTATGGTCATATGTTTGATTTCCTTAAATAAGACTAAATTTTACATTTTTACCCCTAATTTAATTAATTACTATAATTAATTGTCCCTATTTCCCTTGCATAACCAAATTCATTTTGTTGGTGGCAGATCGATCTGATGACGATGACGGTGAACTCCGGTGACGGAAGCGGATAGGCAAATCGATAGCGGCGATCTAGGTGAAAATTTTGATGATCGGCAATGACAGTCCGGATTTAAAAATCTATGGACTTTTTAAAAGTCTATAAACTTATCCATGGATTTATAAGTCATTAGAATTCACTCATAAAAAAGTCTACGGGTTTTAAATTCCATAGACTTTTTTAAAAGTCCATGTATTAAAAAAAATCCACCACAATACATATTCAATACACCCCCTTACTTTTCAATTTCATTGAAAATAACTCATACTACACCCTAAATGAGGACATATAGGATGCACAAGAGAAATACAAGTGATGATATATTGATATATACTAATACATTAGTGAGATGAAAGAAGTCCACAATAATATTGCCGATTTAATTTGTATTGGTAGTCACTAATATAAGAAAATGACACTTGTTTGAGTTGCAATTTACTTTGTTATGTTCAAATTGATTTTTGTAATATTTTTATTAAGGTTAAAATCATAAGCTATGAGGAATATAAAAATCAGAATATTTTAATTGAGATAAAAAATCTTACTATTTCGTATTAGCTATGTGCATGTATTCTAGTTTCTCATTAATTAATAATATTTAATCATGTCCTTAATTATATTTTTATAATTTCAACTATTTACCGCAGTTAGAAGACGACTACTCTATACTAAAATCAACCCAATTCTTCTCCACACTATCGGAGTGTGAAAGGGAAAGGAAGACGAGAAAATCAAAACTAATAAGAAGTAGATGCTCCACCCAATTTTGTACCTGGGTGGCCCCTTCATTAAGCAAATCAACAATGCTCTTGCTATTACATTCAATTTTTCTTGGTAACAATGTAGTACGATTGTCCTAAATAATAATAATACTAATAATAATAGTAACAATTAGAGTCCATTTAATAACTCTTATTTCATTATATAAGTCTTATTAGCCAAGTATTTTACTAAACGCATATAGAGCAAATTGTTTCTTTATCATTGAATTGTGTAGTAATCAAAATAAGTTAGGTTTGAGTTATTTTTCTGACCGAAGTTATTGTAGTCTTATATATGCAGTCTAATATAGAGTAGTAAAAACAACAATATATCATTTTGTAGCACTTTTTATACATTTAAAAATTATATATATTGAGCAAAGTAAATATTAGGTCCAATCTTGTGTAATATATATATTTCGGACATGTATTTATTTTCTTCATATATCACTATAGAATACGTAGTAGTAATTATAAATATTAATGTAGAACGTCTAAGCTCTAGACGTCTTGCTACAAAGGCTTCACACTTAAGCTTTGTCTATTCTCGCCTAGGCTTCGCCTGCTTGAAGCTTCGTCTATTCTCGGCTAGGCTTCATGCGTAAGCTTCGTCTATTCTCGCCAAAGCTTCAAAGGCTTGAAGCTTGATGTTGACGTCTTGCTACACCTCGCCTTTTAGAATACGGCTCATAAGATCCAACCCATTTTTATAAGTTGAAACCCAATAAAGTATACATACAACCAACCCGGAGTGGAGACAGGGAGGGGCTGGAGGGGGCTTTGGCCTCTGCAAGATTTTTTTAAGTATATATTATGTGTAAATATTTTGAATTTAGAGAAAATATGTTGATATTTTAAACTTTGATCCCAACAATGTAAAATTATCAAAGCTCAACCCCTTTAATCATATAAGCCACTGCAACCAACATGATTGACAACAAACCATGGTTGCTTCCGAGCACCGCCAAAACTAAATTCCGTCTCTTTATTCTATTATTATACAGAGTATATTGATACAAAAATTTCCAAGCTTAGCCAGTTATCCATATCTGATCCGATAATTTAATTGTGTAATTTCTATATTGCGAGTCTTTTTAGAGGTGAACCAGTTTGTCGTGACATATGATCGATAAAGTAACCAGCTAATAAGTGAAGAATCTTTTGAACATCATATTTGGTCCAAAAGGTGGAATCTCCCACCCCAGGAGCCCCCCACCCTGACCCGACGGGATGGTGGTGAGGTTAATGACGGTGACTCGGTCAGCAAAGCGACGGTAGGCTTTATACACGTGCGCATAAAAGGTCCAACCTTATTTCAGGTTCTGTAACCTCCACACGGCCGCTGCGGGTTTTGAACCTTGGTCACTTTGTCCAATTTTCCCACCACTCGACCAACTGAGCTACCCGTGCGGGTATCTTTTTGAACATCATATACATCATCATTTGCATACCAATATACAGAGTAGTTCATACATAACATATAGACATTATAAAATACGTACTACTACCTCCATCCCACTAAGATTGGAAAAGGAGATAGTGACACGATTATTAAGAAAAGTTGGTTTGTGTGGTTGATATTAAATTTATAAAGTAAAAAAATGATTTAGAGCCACACAAAGTTTACCAAATTTGGTATGGGACAATTTTAGTGGGGTTTCCCGAAAAAGTAAAATGGGACAAACTTAGCGGAACGGAGCGAGTATTATTCGGTGAAAATTCTGATTGATAAGCAGGGGAAAAGCTTACTAACATGTAATGAATAGTGATATGTCAAAATTCGGGGTGGACATATCACTAATTGTATCAAAATTTTAACAGAAATTGCCCTAAATAGGAGTAAAAACGTTTTGAAAATCCAAAATAGGAGTATCATGTTTTTTATTCCCTGAATAAGAGTAATCTGCCAAATATGGAAAAAATGCCATGTTTTAAAACCTAGTAATGTCAAACTTTGCATAAGTTTACTCCTATTCAAGGAATCAAAAACAAGATGGTTCTATTTTGGAATTTCAAAACTTTTTTACTCTTAAAATTATTAAATTATTAAGAATTTGGATTGGGATACTAAAATCGGCTGATTCTACTGAAATTATGAAGTTATAGGTGAATGACTTATATGAAAAAATTATATTTAAGTAAAATGAAGAAAAAATTACATGAAAAATACTACCTTCGTCCCAAAAAATTTGAATCATGATTTTGATTAATATCATGTAACTTATAAATTTTATACTATTATGAATATACTTTTAACAAAGAACATTTTCATATACTCCGTAATTGTTAAATTATAAATAATTTGTAATAAAAAGATACGATAGGTCAATGTTTTGAAAATGACAAAGTTTTTTGAATGAAGGTAGTAGCTAATGCGGTCATCTACGGTAATTTCAACCAATGCAACCAAAAAAGTTACTTCAACCTTATTTTTTCTTATTATTATACAAATCAATGCGCGAAATCAAAACTTACGTATTTGATGAAAAGTTGATTGATAAATTTGATAAACCAACAAGAGCACCAAACATGCTCCTAGTGTAGGGGAGCTCACTCCTGTATCCATCATTGATGCTGCACTCCAAAGCGATTAATCAATGGTCATACCAATTTTTCTTCTTAATACGTACTACCTCCGTCCCATTAGAAGGTTCTCGTCCACTATTCAAATGGTCAACTTAAATCATTTTTAATCTTTTACTTCATAAATCAAATTTTTATCAAATTTACATTTTTTTATCAGGCTTTGTAGCGGCTTTAATGTAGTTTCTGAATATGTAAATTTTATTTACTAAAAATAATCAGAGTGAACAGGGATTAAGTTGATTTATCGTCAGTCAAGCATCGTAAATCGCCAACGGGAACCTTCTAGCGAGACGGAGGGAGTAGTATTTGTTTTCTTTTCATTTTTTGCTTATTAAAATTGGTTTACTAATTAATCGTTATTATTTTATTAATTTGACACTCCACCCGTTTCCCTGTTTTGGTTCCATTTTATCTTTCCTGTCTGTCATATTAACTTTATCTTATATCATACTCCTTCCGTCCCTAAATAAAAGCATCCGTTTTCTTTTCGGGTCGTCCTTAAATAAAAGTTCTCTTTCTTTTTTTTGGCAAACAAAACAGTGCAAAACAGTGTCAAACATTGTCAAACAGTGTCCAAACAGTACCAATCAAACTCACTTTCTTAAAATGTGTGGAAAACGAATGGATACTTTTATATAGGGACGGAAGGAGTATTTGATAAAATTTGGATAGCTACTATTCATTCTTATTTTATTTACATATTATCAATTTAATAACTGCATCACTCTCTTTTCTCTCAATGTTAGAGGGACTAAAGTAGTATTATATTTATGAGCTAAAGGTTTATTCATAAAACATAATGATAATTAAATATTGTTTATTTACTTAACGGTTGATTAATATCATCTAAAAACTGAATAAATATGCTACTATCGATTTTTATATCAATTCTTCAAAACATTGCTAAAACCAAATATATAGGACCTGAAAGATAGACAAATTATCAATTCGGGACCTGAAAGATGAAATGCATCGATATAAGACCCGAATGATGAAAAACTATCAATTTAGGACCCGAGTGAATGAAAACTATCGGTCTAAGTCCTAAGTTGTCATGCATTTTATTATTTATTTTTATTTTAAAAGTTTTAAATATTATTTACTTTTATTAAACTAATAAACTTTTGTGAGGAAAAGTTTACCAAAAATTAGCAATACAGTTAATAAAAATTAAATAAACTAAAACCAAAGAAATGTCAGATCCTAGATTAATAGTTATCCATCATTCGGATCTTATACTGATACATTTTATATTTTCATTCTCGGATAGATAATTATCTTCCGGGTCCTGGATTGATAAAATTCATATCTATATAAAATGAATTGTCCCTTAAATAGTTCTAAATGTTTAAACAGAATCAAACTAATCCCACTGTCACAAAATATTTGTGCATGAATAATGAGAGGAAGTAGAAGTGTACCAAAATGTAAAAAAAGCTAAATATCCAGAAATGTGTCTACCATACAGGGGTGATGTAATTTGCCGGATCTAAATCCAGCTTTGGAAAACAAGTTATAGTCCGTACGAGATGATAAGTGTTGAGTAGGATGCTGAACATGATCGATCCGTGCCTTCTGGGGAATCTATTTGTACAGGTAGCGTGGCCACATCTGAAGAATTTCCATTATGGGGAGGAAGGAAGCCGTTAAGTATCAGTGAGGGAATAGAGCTGGCAAATGACGTATCAGGTGGTGTGCTGAAGCTTCTCCCCATACCAACCCCCCTCAAGTGTCAAGTCCATCCTCACCGTTACATTACTATTTCAAATCAGTTTTAAATTCACTTTGATTCATTTGTAAATCTGTAATCTTTGCCATTTGGGCTATGCCATCTCTCTCTCATAGGCACAGTTTCGAAAAAGTTTCCGCCTTTCTGTAATTTAGTGAACTACCCACCCACCCGTTCTTTCTTTTACCGGAGATGGCTGGTTCCGGCGTCGGCGGTGATTTTAGATTCTTGATAGTGAAGCCTGAAAATGGAGGATTTTTGGACGTTCTAAGGTTTGGGGTATTGGGTCACCAACAGAGCGGTGCTAAATTTCTTGAAACAACGTCCAATTACCGGGGAATCACTGATCAACTCTGGGAGGTTGGCGACGGTGAGGATGAGGACCCAATACATAGATGGGTGATTGTCGTGTCCGTTGTGGCGAGGAAGTTGCTAGCTTTCTTCAAGAAACCATTGGAGTGGGCTGGCTATCTTCTGGAGTTTCTACTGAACCTCTTCTCTCTTAATGGCGGCAACTTCTTTATTTTCCTCCACAGATTCATAAATGGTAAACGGGTCTTCTTTCTTTCTTTTCCTCCATATTTGTTTATGGTTATCTTTCTTTGTTGATCATTTGTCCCACATCCTTTTAAAGTCAAATAATAACTCAATGTATAAAAGTTTGGGCTATTCAGTTTTGTTGAGGATAAAACCTCATATCTTAAGATATTTTTACACTAATTGTTTGGGATAGCCCGTTAGAGTCTCTTTGACCCAGTCACAAGTGAGCAAATATCATTGTTTTTGACTATTTAATTCATAACAAATGCTTCAAAGCATTTGAAGCTGGTCTTTCATTCACAATACAAATGCTGAAATGTTGTTAGTGTAATAGAGCTCGAAATGATGGCCCATTAGTCATTACTTTGATCTTTATATTTAAGCTGTTTGTATCAATTACTACATGGAATCAGGGCAACTAGTCATGCCAGAGAGAGGATCTGAAACATATACTAGTGCTATTGGGTATTTGGATGGGCGTATAGACCTATACAAGAGCGAAGTGGTTTTTAATGAACTTGGAGAATTTGATTCGTCAAAGGTAAGTGTGCCCTTGGAAGCCGGAAACCGGGCTCTGATGGACCTCTGTATGATGGCTTCAAAGTTGTCCTATGAAAACGTAAATGTTGTCAGGAAAGTTGTAAATCTTCACTGGAAGGTATTGCCCGGCATGTTTGGGATGACTAATATGCTAAGTGCTTTTGTAACAACTGCCTTTTTCATTTCAGCATTGAAACTGTTTTTCCTTTTCATAGTGGTCAATATGATGCTCTTTGGATAAGCACAGAAAGGATAAGTAAACACTCTTCCTATAAAAAGCACATATTATGTGAAAATATGAAATCCCAATTGTGTGAATTCAATTTAAGAACCTGACTTTTCATCTCAAACATTAAACTAACCGCAATTTCGTTTTTTTGTAAAAGCAGATGCATTTTGTTGAGTTCTACAATTGTTGGAATGGTGAGAATTTAACCTATGACACCCATATCATTCATGTGAACTGTTGCAATTTTCGAGAAAAAAATGCATATAAACTCACTAACTTATTTTTTATTATTTGGTTTCTTTTTCATGACTTTTGTTTGCATAGGACAGACTATCAACAAGAAAAATCCACCCAAGTTTTTATAATGTGTGACAAGCCAAAAGATGCAAACTTGATATTGGTTGGCTTTAGGGGAACAGAACCCTTTGATGCAGATGACTGGAGCACTGACTTTGACTACTCTTGGTATGAAATTCCAGAAATGGGAAAAGTACACATGGGATTCTTGGAAGCCTTAGGGTTAGGGAACAGAGAGAATGTTTATACATTCCAAGAACGACTTTTTAAGCAAAACACAGAAAGTTCAGAGTCATCTATCAACTCTGAATGGCCTTCAGACGATTCATCTGCATACTACACCATTAGAAGGAAAGTCAAAAGTCTACTAAAAGAGAATGATAAAGCAAATTTTGTCGTGACGGGGCATAGCTTAGGCGGGGCTCTTGCAATTTTGTTCCCAACGGTTTTAGCGATGCACAAGGAAGAGGCAGTGATGCAACGGCTGTTGGGAGTTTACACATACGGACAACCTAGAGTTGGGAACAGGAAGTTAGGGTGGTATATGGAGGAGCACTTAAATCATCCCACTCCGAAGTATTTCCGGGCTGTTTACTGCAATGACCTTGTCCCAAGGTTACCTTATGATGATAAGACGTTCTTGTACAAGCATTTTGGGGTGTGCCTTTACTACAACAGTATGTATATTGAACAAGTAAGGTTCCAAACACCTTTCTTTCTTGCATCAATACTTTGAAATATCCCTCCTTGTCATTCAACAATATATAATGAGGTTGTGCATATATTGAAAGATTTGCCCACCCAATGAATGTGCTGGAATTTCTAAAATTGTACGTAATTTTAAATAAATTAAATGAAACTACACTCCCTCTGCAAGGAAAAGAGGACCGTATATACTTTTTGGTCATTCCCACAAAAAAATGTCCAGATTTTATATTAGGTGTTACTTTTTCATATAGTTAGTACCTTACCCATATTTAAATTTTCATTCAGAGAATTCGAAGATATGAGTAATCATTAAGTAACTTTACAGAATGGTAAATGTGAGAATTGCATATGAAAATTGTTATTTCAATTAGCTGAGGCCTTATGCAGTATCGTTATCTGTTCTATGTTTTTTATTTTTTAGATAACTAAAAAGTAAAATTCTGTGAACTTGGAAAAGGTTTTGCTGCTTTTTGTTGTTAGGTTTCAAAATTAACATAGATTAGTATAAGTCATTATTTAGGTTATTTTACAACATATACCTTTTGAAACTTTAAAACAAAAAAAAACTGAAAATTGACACTGATACAAAATGGGCCCTTAACAAATGCTATGTATGTCTGAGTCCGTGTGCAAATCGCATACAATCATATCCCTGGAAATAAAAAACAATGACTCATGACTTTTTTTCCATCCTTGTTATAAGAGAGTAGATGAAGAACCAAACCCAAACTACTTGGGGATGCGCTTCATGATACCGATGTATCTAAATGCTGTTTGGGAGTTGATCAGAGGTTTGGGGATGGGCTACGCATATGGGGAAGAGTACAAGGAGAGTTGGGAGTCGATCCTCTGGAGGATGGTTGGACTTTTTATTCCAGGAATTGCTGATCACAGTCCTGTTGATTATGTTACTTCCATAAGGCTTGCAAGGAAACCAGATGTGTCATCCTCATCATAACCAAACAGCCTTACACCTTACAGGAAATTTCAGGTTTTGAAGAAATGTAGTGGACCGAAATGGTGGCAATAAATGTTGGTTGCTTGTTCCTTTTTTAATACTTTGGTGTATTTTACATTGCATATATGGTACTCCGTATTAATAAATAACGAATAGCTTGGTTGTACTTTTTAGCTTTGTTTAAAACATGTCTTCAACATCCTTGGGTCACTTGTACCATGTTTTGGAACTGGACCAGACTTGGGTCACTTGTCCTCCAATCTTGAACCAGTATGTATTGGGAGTCGATCCAAATCTAGTCTGGTGCCTCCAAAATAGGGTCTGACCAGTTTTGTGCCAATTCTTTAAAAGAAAGATTAAGAAACCAGTCCAGAACTGATCGAGAACTGAGCTGGATATGCTCGGATATGGTTCGGTTTTCACCCTTTCCAGAACTGGCTGGTGGGGTTGCAGAAATTGATTGAGACCTCCCTTACATCTGATATTACAATGCGTGATTGAGAATTACATTCTTTTTCTCATGTTTGCCTTGAAGGCAACCACAGCTAATCAGTTGATTTTTTAATGAAGTCCTAGTAGCTAGTTGACTATTGTAAGGTAAGGTTGACATAAACAAGGAAACATGTGATATAATTCAAACAAATTCTAAGATTGTTGATCGAACCATATTATAAAAATTGAATGAACTGATTAGTTATAGCCAGTTCATTCAAAAAAAAAGGAGAACAATCAAATAAGCCCTCAAACTTTCGTAAAAAGTGCAAATAAGCCCATTTACAGGAGGCTTTGTCCTGGTGTCGCCATTTGGGGCGGTTTCCGGTGAAAGATTTTGATGAAAATTTTTGAGCATCTTCTTCATTAAGTCTAGTTTACCCATACCAAATTTCAGCTAAAAATTCAATCGAGAAGGTAGTCCAATGATTTTCTGAAATATATATATCAATTTATGAATAAAATTGGAACTTTGTGTATTACTGAAAGTGATACATTTTTATTTGGGATTTTTTGAATATACATATGTAGATATAATCAAATTTATTCATATGAACTATCAAGTTCATTCCTATTAAAACTTAGGTAACATTTATTCATATGACTGTAAAATTTAATTACGTTCTAATTTAGTCATAACAACTACCAAGTTTATTCGTAATAAAACACAGGTAATATTCCGAAATACATATAGGTAAACTTAGTAAAATTGTCAATTTTATTCGTAATACAATTTAGGAAAATTTAAATTTTAGAACGTGCATGTATAACTATATAAGGCTTGGTTGTTGTTGTTGTTGATGTATAAGTGTATAACTATATAATCAAACTTTATTCATACCAAAACATGTCAACTTTATTATTAATAATATTGTCTATTTTTTATCATATAAAAACTGCTAATTCTACCGATTTTTTTTAATATGGAGTTTTTTCATGTACAAGGGTAAGTGGTAGGGCTTGATAGAGGAGTTTGTATACCGTATAGCCGGTTGTACGGTAAGCACCGTACAACCGGTAACATTTTAGTAATTAATTCAAATGAAATTCATGACTTCCGCTAAATGTGCATCAATGCACTTTTAGTGAACATCAAACATATTTTGTTGAGTGTTAGAAGCCTAACAATGAGTATCGTGATCTTTGTTTCGTATCTTCTAATTCACTTTCTTTTTCTTATTTTTTCTTTTATAAAAACTTATTAAAATATATTTATAATCAACTTTTATGAATTTCACTATGGAAATCTAATGTGATATGGTACTTTTGAAAGATGCATTGATATGAAATTTTAAAAATGATTATAACATCAATATCAAATGAGCATATCAAATGAGCATACATACTTACGAAAATGATCGAGTATCGAAAAATTCAAAAAACTCATTAAAAACTCTAGTATGTTCAAATATTAAATGAGAATACATAACTTATGAAATAAGCATCGACATTTTTAAAATGAGCAATACACCAATAACAAATGAACATACCTAACTTACGAATTGATCATAAAAATTTAAAAAACTCATTAAAATCTCTAACATAAAGAAGCACCAATTCCTTATTTTATTGCGCTTATTTTTTAAAATTATATCAATGCACATTTAATGTAAATAATATACTCATAATTATTTAGAAGGTTGGAACTTTTAATAGAAGAGTGGGAGAAGTAGTTCAAAGTTTCTGGATATTTTTTGTCAATTCACCGGGAAGGACAAGTCTCACAGTTGTCTGGATCTACCTGGAGGTGATGAGGGTGTGGCTGTGGACGTTGATGGGGCTGTAGCCGCTAGCGGCGTGGAGGATAACGGTGGAGGGGAAGTAAAAATAGGTCCTGATTTGGTCCTTGACCTGGAACTTGTAGGTGAAGTTGGTGGCGGGCAGGATGGGCACATGGTTCCGGTAGTGCCATCCACGCAAGAGTTCTTCTTGTGGATGCTGATCCAGGTGAAGAGCATCGGCTCGTCAAGGTCGTTGAAGATGTTGTTGGAGGTGCAATTGATCATGGGACCCCGAAAATGGCCTTTATAATGAGCAAGTATGGAGGATTCAATGAGCTTCTCCAAGATGTCATTGAAGCAACACAACATCCTCTACTCCATAATTAACAAACTCCTTTTGCAATTTGCAAATAATTACAAAAATACTTGATTGTATCAAATCGGACGGTACAATCGAGTGTATGAATTAATGTATCATTAGGGTCAATGAATGTACTTTGTTCTGGGCTCAAAGGAAATAAATGACCTATATTAATCACTTTAAGGATAAGTTTTAAGTATATTTCTATTTATGTCTTAGCTTTTCCTTTGATGTTATTTATATCAAAGCCTTAAGCCCCACAATACTTGATACATTTATATCATAGGACTCATTAGTCGACCTGTCAAAAGTATTTATTTCATCGCATTTCCCACATAGTTATGTTTTTTTTAAATACGTAGTTAGCTATGGTTGTTTAGAATTTAGAGCTCTTTTATTACTTTTTTCGTACTTTTTGTTTTCCATTATTTCACGCTAACATGTCAACTTGTCGAACGTGAGATGAACCCACCGACCAGTCACACTTATATAATCATATAATCATCTTTGCGTCCCTCGAAGTGTCATTCTCGTGTTTTAATTTGGTTTGGTCATATACTCAAATTGTTTACTCCCTCCTTCGCTAAATGTCCTTCCAAATTAAAGTGCCACGGTGATTAAGAAAGTGAGAATTGTATGATGGTGAATTGTGCAGAGGAGAGAGAAATGCTGTGAACCACAAATTCTTTGTCAAAAAGGGAAAGTGAAGTTCTTTTTTAGACGGACGAAAAGGGAAAGTTAGAAGTAAATTTAGGGACGGAGGGAGTATTATTTTTGCTATGTTTTAATCATAAAATCTTTTACAAAAAACTATGTGATGAATCGAATAAGTAATTTTAATTATATTTTAATGTGATAGACAATCATAAAATATACTAGTACTACGTATAAATTTTGACAAAAGTAATTTGATTTGGCAACCATAATTACCGTCTGCATTTCACGTACATTCTCCATATATTAATGTAAAATTAATTGATTCACGTGATCCGTGTTATCAACCTCAAACTGGAACTTCAATTCTGGTCCGTCCTCTTCTTCATATTGGGGTTGCACTTAGAGATGGCAATTGTGACCGAATCGATGAATACCCGCATCGAACCGCTCTGGTCAAAATGGGGAAAACCGCATTGACCGGGTAACGGGTACGGGGCGGGGAATCCCCGTTTTCTTTTTACGGGTAATGGGGCGGTTACGGTTTTATACATGCCCGCTCCATTACCCGCCCCGTACCCGCCCCGTTTATTTGTAGATATATTTATTATATTTTTATCTATTATTTGTCTAACAACTATTAAAAGATGAGATTTTTTCTTTCCATTGTGTATATATAGATAATAGATGTACTAACTATAATGTATGAACGAAAGTTCATAATAGATTTTAATAGTCTTGTTTGATTATTACCATATTTTTGTGATTAATTATTTTTTAGATCAAGTATTTTTAGATTCAAATTAATTTAAGTTGCTTGATTTCTCGTCTAGTATGTATACGAATCTTTAAATTGGCATCTGAAGTGTAGAGTCGTCTAGGCGATGTCATTCTTCGCCTTTTAAAATATTATTTTTATATCAAAATTTAATGACTCAAGTAATAAAGTGGTTACCCGCGGTTACCCGAAGTTTTACCCGTTACCCGTTGGGGCGGTTATGGTTTGGGTAAAAATTACCTGTTGGGTAATGGGGCGGTTACGGGGCGGGGAAATTACCCAACGGGACGGTTACGGTTATATGCAAAACCGTCCCCGATCCGCCTCGTTGCCATCCCTAGTTGCACTCAACGCCATAAGCCCCATAAATTTGTGCGTGGGATTGAAACTGCCAAGTCATACAAGTATTATTTATGATGAAATTTTAAATAATACTTTTGCTGGCACTTCATTTGTCCCTTGAAATTTTGTCAATTTTGACCGACACCGGAATTAATAAAATAAAAATTGTTTGATTGAGGTTTGTGCAGAAGAGAGAGAATTAACTGAAATCACAAATTCTTTACTTGAAAAGGAAAGTGACAAAGTTAGTGGGACATTCAAAAAAGAAAAGTTGACAAAGTTTTAAGAAACGGATGGGGTATTATACGGTTCATGAATAATACAATAAGGATGTTTTTAGTTGGACTGTTTTCAGTCCCAGACAAGATCAGACAAGATTTAAACACGTCAGACCAGACATCCTTAAACAGACCAGACCAGACTTAAACAAACCAGCTCAAACCAAACCAGACTTCAGTAGTTATAAAATACAAAGAGACTAGACATTTACCTGACCAATTCAGACCAGACCAGACCAGACATAAACAGACCAGACCAGCAAATTACAGCCCAAATAAAAACATCCTAATACGTACGTTCGTGTATAATACGATACAATTATATAAAATATGACTAAATATACATTTCATATGTTCGTGAAATGGTTAAAAATACGGACGTGTATTAAACGTTTCACAATTTAAAAATACGGCATATAATACGTGTCTTATATACTAATTTAATGATAAAAATAAATAGCTATTTGACATATGTACCACGATCTTCAATCGTTTAAAATGTATGGAATAATTTTTTCAGATATACGAATTTGAATTTGTAGGTACAATAAGTAATAAAA